GTCCAGAGGTTTGCTCCTATTATATTATATTATATATTTCACAATAGCTGATGTTTGGATGTATACGTTCAACAAGCACTAATATAATTTCAGGGCTTTGGGAATGGGCGGTACAAGAGGAAGAATCTACATCAAACATGCAGAGCTCTTCAAGGTACGTTCAGTCTTTTTCTGAGAATTCATTAAGCTTTTTCTGTTCATGTGGAGGTAACGGTAATATCTTTTGTGTCTCAGTATGCCGCTGATGCTCAGGACAAACACTGGCTTTCAGAAAGACAGCACATGAGAGCTACCGGTGGAAAGATGGTGAGGACATTGTGTTTGTGTTTCCAAAACATGTTAAAGGAATAATTCACCCAAAAATTACAATTTGCTGGAAAATTATTTACCTTCAGGGCATTCAAGATGTAGATGAGTTTGTTTCTTCATCATCTCACCAGTGGATCCTCTGGAACTCATCTACATTTTGGATGGCCTGAGGGTTGTACATTTTGAGCAAATTTTCGTTTTTGGTTGAACTATTCCCAAAAATGAAGCATTAAATAATGATTTATCATCTTCTCAGGCCTATCTGCTTATAGAAGAGGATATTCTTGGTCTTGCCCGAAGTGAAGACTACAAGTAAATAAAAATGTTCTTACTTAATAAAGACTGATGAAAGAATTTTACAGATATGCATCACAATATTTTCTCTGAATCTTAGGGACTGCCCTGACTTGAAGCTGGATGAATTGAAACCATTTCTAGTGCCCTTGTGGATGGTGGAGAAAATGCAGAAAGCAATGGATGCACAGAAAACAGAAAATGATCTTGTCATGTAATACCAACCTCGTCAGGCAAGTCATTGGACCACGGACACTCTTGAGTGTTACCAATTTAACATAACTAACTTTTTGTTGTTTATTTTGTTTGTGCGATGTTCACAGTAGACCCAGGCATTATGATCAAGTTGCCCAGAAATTGTTCTGTTGGAGGTTTACTTGCCAAATCATTTCAATTAATTTTAATGTGCATTTGTCTAAACTGGTCTAGATCTCATTTATTTTTTTCTATCATCAAATGTGTGCTTTTTTTTGTATTTAAAAGACTTAAATATCTAATGAGGCACATATAGACCCTTAATGATTTTTTAAATACTGTGGTTAATGGATATTTTGTATATTTGTTTTTGTGTTTCCCATGATCCTTTGTCCTATTTTTTTTTTTTTAACAAATTTTATGAATTTTGTTCATATATGCTTTAAAATGGAATTGATTTGGCTATTTTCATTTCTCTCTTTTTAAATGTATTGCCTTGTTCTAAAGAACAAAAACAAAAGAAGCTACTTCCTCTTGCAGCAGAACTATACAACCAGCCTGATATTTTTAAATTTATAGTATCTTTTGTAACTTGAATATTTTTTTTTTTTAATTTGACTGATTTTGTAGCTTATTAAAAAGTGTGTGTGGG